CTTTACTTTTTCATATGCATTTTTGGACCACCCTATTGTACATATATGTACCTATACATCTATGTTTGTACCTTGGTATGTATGTATGTACACATGTATGTACGTAGCTGGACTGTTTGCTTGCCTGGTCGTTAGCTGGTTGCCACCGCGAGTACAATCGGTGCACGCATTCGCTGTATTTCGCGTCGACCCATACTCACTTTAGCCTACATTGCTCCACTTCATTTTGCTCCATTATAGGTGTATATACTAACGCACTGTTATATGTGCATATGTACATACCTATGTCTAGATATATTTATGTCAATAAGTATTTTCATATACATGTGTTCATACGTGAAGGTAGCACCGATTCCTGTATTTGCTTGCTTGTATATATGTATGTATATACATAATTACATAAGTATGTATGTACGTATGTGCATACATATATGTATGTATATGAATGAGTGTACATGCGTTTGTTTGCATGCTGCAGTTTTTGGTTGATCTTTGCAGCTGCCTTGTCTTTGCTCTGTGCATCTACATCCAACTTTGCGTTGTCTTTACAATAGTTATGTATCTATAATCATACATACATATGTCAGCATGTACATATGTACATAAGTATATACATAAATACATGCCCCTATCTATAGGTATAGGTATTCATTTATGTATGTACATATGTATATTGTTAGTCTCATAAAAATTTTGTAGAGCACCTTCCTCGTTTGGTCTTTGTCCTGATTTTCGCAACAATATGTACATACATACATAAGAAATGCTATGCAAATCTCACTCAGAAACCGACCAAATAGCAAACTTATTGCCTCAACGTCAACTTCTGTCGAAAGGACAAACCAATATGCCATTGTTCCATTCCAGTTACCCTATCCTTTCGTTCTTGTAAATATGTACAGTGTGGCTACAAATCAAGTAACATTTTTTTCTTTTAACATATATGTACCTATAGGCTTCCCAAATTTGTACTCAGCAGATTAAAAATACACAGGTAAAGCAAGTTTTTTGCGTTAAATTCAAATCAATATTAATTAAAGTTATATACTACGTTTATACGCACGTATTATTTGCAAATAACAATTTGCAAAATGGTAAAATTTCCCGTATAACTAAAAAATTTCGAAACACACAAAGCAATGTAATTCCAAAAATTATTTAAAAAAGTCAGTAAAATGTACAATAACAATATGGGCACTAAATGAACTGGAAAATTGTGTAGAATTAAAATTTTTCTTTTGTTTTTGGTTCACAAGGACGAATAGGTATTTTGAAAAAAACTCTTAATTAATTTCATTTTAATAAGTTAATAAAGTAAGATGAACGAAATACGAGGATGTGGTCGAGTGTATATTTTTTTTTTCAAAAATAAGTATTGTAAAACATTCAAGGCCGCTGTGGTTTAGTGGTTAGCAGTTCGCGCTACCATTCCGGAGGGCCTGTGTTCAAGCCCTGGTCAAAGTAACATCGCATTTTTAAAATAATTTTTTTGAAGTAAACTATTTTTAAAATTTCAAGGCCCTTAAAAAAACCTAATGTCAGAGACTTGGCAAATATATTAATTTTTTGTGTGTAAAATTGACAGTCGCCGATGTAAAAAGTGAGTAGGAACTAAAGTTGAATTTGGCTTATTAAACAGGTGGCAATCCTGTTACGTGTAGTTTAGAAATAAAGCCTTTCTAAACCCATTTGATTAGTACTCGTATTTAACCAATTCATTTTACTTAGATATTAAATAATTTAATTAAAATTTTTTAAAAAAATATAACTTTTAATTTGACACTTCATTTTTTACTAAGAACAGGGATGCAGGGGTAGGCGTAATCACGCAAATAAATACTTGAATAAAAAAAAAAGATTAAATTCGCATTTGTCATTGAAGTAATTTCGAATATTTATAACATTACGCTGAGAGTTGTACCTAGTACTCTTTCCAGCTTCATTAAAGATAAGCACAACTCGGTTAAGGTTTCTTTGTGAACATTCACATAGTATGTATGTACATATGTGTGTAGATAGTACATATACACAGTATGTATGTACATATGTATATGCATGCGATCATTTAAAGATTCTTTGCTATCAGCATTTACGCCATTTCCTGGTGATTATTATACATATCTGGTACATTTTCCTCACTTCCTCTTTTGTTCTATGCATCTTCTTTTCAGTTTTTATAAATTTTTTCCCCAACTCTTTGTATTTTGCTATTTAGTTATTCCATTATTTTAGTTCAGCAGCAGCTGTTGTTTTTTTGACGGCTTGTATCAACGTCTTTAGCGTATGTATGTATTTATTTCACTTGTCTTTTTGTTTTGCGTTCTAAAGCTGTTTGCTGATCTCTTGTACCCTGCAAAAATCGTTGGACCGCGTGGTCTATTTGCGCCATATTTGAGTACTTACAAAGTGCTTCACTGTAATGCTGTAGTGGACCAACTGTTGTGTTGTTTTAACGATCATAATCTCTCCGAGAGGCAGGTAATCCCTTGGCATAGGTTTGTTCTACTCTGATGTAATGTAGAGCTGGAGTTTATGGTCTTGCCGTAGGACATCGCAATGTTATGTAATTAGACCAATTTTTTTTTGTTTGCATTGCGGTTAATTTTGGAGTACTCCTAGACCCAAAGGGAGTACTCTTTACATGCGTGCTTCGAGTAGTAGCGATTTTTGCAGGGTATGAATATACTCTTACGAATCTACTCCTATATGTACGTACATGCCTGTTCATACAATATTTGTATTATAAATTCTGCAATCATACAGTGTCGGTACACTTTGGACTGCTCTTCGTTTAATAAGTATGTACATTAGGGCGGGTTGATTTTTTTTTTAAATCGTATAGCAAAAACCTAAACTACATAAAATTCTAAGAAAATTCTCCGAAGAAATCATGTATCTAAAATAAAATCCTAATCCGCGCCTGTCGACTTGAAAATTTATATGGCCGCCTTTGCCAAAAAAATAAATGTTAGAAAAAATAGGTTTTTCCAAAAAGAAATCGAATTTTCTGAATAAAATTGTTTAGTAAGGTAGTTCTTTTGCACTTTATATTTTTTCTACACTCAACATTTTTTTTCATTCAAAAAAATATTCACCCAAGTAAAAAATTTTCAAGTCGAGAGGCGCGGATTAGGGTTTGATTTTAGACCCATGGTTTCTTCAGAGAATTTTCTTAGAATTTAATGTAGATTACGTTTTTGCTATACGATTTTTAATATTTTTTTTTTCAACCATACAAATCAACCCGCCCTAATGTACATATTTGTGTATGTTTGTACATATGTATGTAAACCTGTTAATAATTTTGGTTTCCTTGTCATCTTACAAAACTGACTTAGGTAAAGGCATGTGAATACATACGCGTTTGTATCTATGAATGTGCATATGTAAATATGCTCGATTATGTGCGTCATAAACGAATTTATACATATAAATACTTATATACAGTATACATATGTACTACGTACCCACAACTGCTATGCCAAGAATCTGATTTTATGGTCTTATCCAATAATAAGTTCATATGTATGTATTTTTTGTTTTAAAAATTATGTAAGGCAAACAGCAAAAGCTAAGCAAAAAAAAAACTGTTAAAACTCAACGAGATTTTGCAGCCGCCTAATTCTTGCACTTTATTGTACTAAATTTCAATGGGCTACAAAACTGCATACCTACTCAAAAAAAGTTCCAAAAGTCAGATTAAAAAGCTCAATATTTTAATGAAAATTTGTTATATTTTTCTAAGCTCTGTATAAAGTTTGATTTATGTTATAAGGTTTTGGTTAAAGCATGAACCATATGTTTATGAAAAAGTAACTAACAAATTTCAACTTTAAAACCCCTGCAAATATTTAACAAAAATCACCATGGACCCATTTCTCCCGAATAGATGGGCTAACAGTCGGCTCTGCAAAAGTTGAGCAAAGACTCCGACACGCAAAGTTGGATAGTCTATCTGGCAGGTGGTCGACCGCGGGCGATCAAAAGGATTTCTACCTAGCTAAACGCCAGTTCTCGATTTTTATAGATGTACAGACCGCACTCTGTCGTTGAGAAACCCATGCGAAGCGACTTTATATCGTCACGGACCTATTGCCACAGCAGATTGGAGGATGACTTGGCTTGCACTCAGTAAATTTGCCTTTAATTGAACGAGACAACCGAAAACAAGTACCTTTATCTCTTTCGAAATAATCAATTTTATTCGCTTGCTTCCTATATGTATCAAACTGAGTTTTCATAAAAAGTGGACTCAGCAACATTTCACTCTAAGTAAGCCGATGTTATGTATCTACTAGGGTGATTGACTCGGTTTCTCCAAACTGGTTTTTACGCTTTTTTGGATATCTATAGGTGCAGTTTTTTTTTGAAATCTTGATTTTTCGAATATCGAATTTTTTATCGAACAACTCGGTTTTTAATTTCGACCGCTATTTGAAAACAAACTTTTTTTGATGTTGCTGGGGCCAGAAATTGAACTATGGATCCCCTGAGTGGCAATTGGCACATCTAAGCATTCGGCTACGGTGGCAAGAGCACGGCTGAAATCCGAAAAAAAGTCAAAATAAATACAATAAAGTATTAAAAAAGTTAAATCTAAAAAGTCTTTGAATTTTTTTTTGCAGAATAACTGCTTTGCGCTTTTCTAGATAAAAGCTAATTTACTGTTTGTAGTTATATTGCAATTTTTAGTCATGACTTCATACTAACATAAGCATTTGCACTGTATGAAAACTATATAAAATAAAACCCCTTTTTTCAGATTGCAATTTTTCTATTAACTCGAAAACCGGTTTTGGAAAAAAGCGAATAATCGAACACCCTAGTATCTACATACTGAGTACATACATACATATGTACATAATTTAATTCTTTTTTCACGATGGCGAAGTAACGCCAATGCGCATTGCCACGAACAGCCGCAACGGCAACGATGTGTCAACATTGACGCAAAACTGACAACGTAAAGCGGCGTCACACAAATATTTCATCGCCCTCGTAGTCTTAAGACACCGCCCCTACCGTCATGGGCGCCCATATATTTTCGCGTTCTCAAAATTGTTATCGCTTTGACGATTTATGTCTTCTATGATTTCAAGTAGCTAACAAATTGAACAAATATTTTCAGCAGTGTGAGGATAAACAAAAAAAAAGGAGTAGATAATAAAAATAAAAACAAATATTTGAGTGCATACAAATTTATGTTTAACGAGAGAGCAGGAAAAAGGAAAAGTGTATTTAAAAAAAAAATTTGTTTAACAAAAATTAATTGTTATATTGTGTTCGTGGCTTAATGTTGTGACAAGCAACTCTCAAATTGTGTGTTCTGCTGTTGTCTTCGGTGGGAGTGAGGTGCAAATGCTGGCAGCATTGCGAGTGGTGCAAAGCCGAATCGAAACAAAAAAACAACAAATCAAATATGGTAGAAGATGGTGTGCAGGAAATGTGAAAAGTCGCATTACTCATTGATTTCTGGTGCTCCGTAATTTTTGTATGTTTGCTTGGTTGTTTTGTGTTTTTTTTCTTCTTGTTTTTTTTTTGTTTTTTTTTTTTGTTGTTGAGTGTGCATTGAAGAGTTGAGAAATTCAAATGAAAGTCAGTCGGCAAAGCGTTGTAAATGCGTTCGAATCAGACAAAAGCCAACAGCAGCAGCAGCAGCAGCATCAGTGTCGAAGCAAATATCTAACAACGAAAACAATTGCAAACAACAATCTACTGGCAACGACAACAACAACAACAACAACTGTTAGCTAGCAACAGTAAGCAACAACTAACATCACTTGCGAACATTGCATTTGAGCAGAGCTGCAACTGCAGCTAAATACATAGCAGTTAGCAGCAGTAGCAGCAGCAGCAGCAGCTGGGCATCGTATAATTTCTCTACATGCAACAAAATGTAGCACAAGACCCACTACATATGTACATACATACATACATACATACATGGGGGTACATAACCAAGTGTATTGAATATTCGCAACAATTCGTGGTGGCGCTCGTGTATGCGTATGCGCCCAAATGTACATATGTATGTATGTATGCATGTGTGTTGCATGTTTTGTACCGATGCAGTGAAGTGCAACGTAGAAAAAAATTCGATAGCCGAAAGATACAAACTGAGAATTCGCGGCGTGTATGTAGCATTAACAAAAACCGACCAACAATTCTGTGCTACACCACCAACCAAATTGCGTTCGTCCGGAGAGTTTGAGTGTTGAGTGTTGAGTACCTATTCGCCCCAAACTGTTTGGAAAAAATAGCGAAAAGACAAATAGTACGGATGTTGGTGGTAGTGCAGTTTGTCAGCCAAGTGGCATTGTGAAGGTGGATTTTCAAAGTTTAAGTATATGCTGAAATATTGCTAATAAATTAAAGTAATAAACCATAACGCAGTGAAGAGTAACTGTAAGAAAATTGAAAATGAAATAATATAAATTTCTGACAATAATATCTAGATTAGTATGTTAATTGAGTGGAAATTAATGGATTTGTGAAAAAAGTTTCGTCAGCGCACCGCCGCGTCTAATGAAATATGTAAATAAATATCAAAATAACTTTTGGATGGAACCACGTCATAGGTATTTAGCCGAGCAAAAGTAATACAAATGTCGAAGAGCCGAATAACTGCAGAGATTTGTAAGTAATCTGAGGTGTTTTTTTCTTTAAATGATATTTAGATGTGTGCGTAATATGTATTTTGATACAGTTTTGTGAAAAACAAAAGAAAGGCTCAATAAGCAAAAATAGTTGCCTATTTTAGCGAATAACTGATTGACTGCCTTTTTGGTTACTAATAAAATCTAAAAAAAAAAAAGCTGAGAGCAAGTAGTCCCTACTCGCGCAAAAAGTGAAAAATTTATTAAAAAAAGCAGAAGTTTGCAATATATTTTTAATATAGGTATCTAGATAGTTGTAATTTTTTTGCACGAGCTTTATTTTCTTTGACATTTTTTATAGTCAACTGCTTAGTTTACTTATTATCTTTATTTTTATCTACACCTGTTTTTTATTTTTATTTTTATCTTCATCTTTATTTTTATCTTCATCTTTATTTTTATCTTCATCTTTATTTTTGTCTTCATCTTCATCTTTATTTTTATCTTCATCTTTATTTTTATCTTCATCCTTATTTTTATCTTCATCTTTATTTTTATCTTCATCTTTATTTTTATCTTCGACATAATGTATATCTTCTTCTTTATTTTTATCTTCATCTTTATTTTTATTTTTATCTTCATATTCGTATTCAGATCGCAAAGTACCGTATAAAAACTTAAAAGTCTACGTGAATTTTTAACCGCTTTATTGCGCTAAAATTTTATGGGCTATAAAATTATATGCAAAAATTTTTCTAAAAATACAGATTACAAGGTTTGAAATTTTGAAGAAAAGTTATTGAATTTTACTAAATACATATTGTAATTAGCTTAAAACTTAGATGTATGGTACATGATTTTGGTTATATGAACAATATTTTTATTACAAAAAAAAAAGAATAACAAAAAAAAAATTTTAACTAGAAAAACATTGCGAATATTTAAAAACATTCAACATGTGAACGCCTATTTGGGTCCCGGTATGTAAAGTGTTGTACATACCTACAGATTTGCATAAATTCCTTTAAATCATTAAAAATGTACTCGTTTAATTTCCTACAGAACCTAAGAATCATAAAATAAAACAAATGGAAAAGTTTATAAAACAAACAATGACGCCAAGTGAATTTGTGCGCTGTTAAGCGCAGCTGCTAGTAATTTTCCATTTTCTCTACACTTTCGCTACATTCTTCGTTTACAAAAATGTGTATACAAGTGCATACATAATAATTTGACTTTGTTTGGAATTAATTTTTTCTGTTCTATACTTTGTATGTTTCTTTTAGCACATTTAATTCATTCCAAATGTATGTATGTAGGCATGTGTACATACAAGCTTATAGTAGATGCAGGCATATAATACTATACATACATATGTATGTACATATTCGGTTGGTACTTACTGCTTTTCTCTGCTCTACTCGGCTTTCTTTCCAAACTCTTACACCAGCACTGTAAATATGTGGGACCAAGTATTAGCAACGACGGGTGGGCCATTATTTTTAATATCCATTACCTCATTTTAACCGCTGCGCCACTGCCACGTGCAATTCATTTGTCGTTTATTCGCCTTCACTTTCAGGTATCTATAACCAATTTGTATTTAGCTATTCATGTAAATCTGAATATGTTTGCTTGCCCGGGTCGACACCGAATTGACAGCGACACGGCATCAATTGCACTGCTCTTCAAAATTCTAATACTTACGTCAATAGTTGAAACCCCTGCAGAAATCGTTGGATCATGTGTTCTCTTTGTGGCATATTGGAGTATGTACCAAGTGCTCCTCTGTAATGATATAGCGGACCAACTCGTGTCACTACACCAGCTTATTGTTGCCCGAGGTAGGTGTTCCATGGAGTAATCACTTGGATTAGTTTTGTGCTTGAGTATATGGGCCTGCACTAGGACATCGCAATGCGGTTAATTTTGGAATCTCCTAGACCCTTAGGGCGTATTCCTTACATGCATGCAAGTAGTAGTAGCGATTTTTGCAGGGACATATGCCGTCACACATACATACATACATACATAGATATATTATGGTGGTATGGTTACACCTACAATTCATGCGAACGACTTTGCCCCTTCCCGCTTCATATGTGCAGGAATTTGAGGTATGTCAATTCATTTCAATGCTGAACTTTTCTTTGTTTGACGGACTTAGACTAAAAGTATACGTATGCATGTAGTATATAAATATCTATTATGTAGATATGTATTTATACAAACAATGTTGTTGATAACTGCTGTAAGCTAATCAAAAAAAAAAAAAATATACTAAAGTGATGCATTTAATTTTTTTATTGAAAAAGGATATCTGGTAACAGACGTCCAGAGTACACTTGAAAGGCGAAGGGACACTTTTGACAGAGGTGGCAAGTTGCATCTATTGGAACTATACTCACATTCCTCTGCTAGACCAAAGCGAGGTGAGAACAGCAATAACTCGGCTTTAGTAATATACAAGCCCCCGACCCCGACAATATACTGGCTGAGCTGTTCAAAGCCGGCGGCTCATGTATCAGCTGGTAATCCCAACTCGGTCTGATGAATATGTGATCGGAGATTGGAACCTCGAGAAATAGCCAACTGTTTGCGCCAAAAATGGCGGAAAAAGTCTACGCAACATTGCTTAAAAGGCACCATCGACCATAGAGCGTGAAAGACTGAAGCTCTTCATGAAACCACTGAATAGGCTTTATCAGCGTAGTTTCAGGCCAAAGACTTTATATAATAAAACACAACACATCGCTTTTTCGTTGACTTCAAAATCGCGGTTTTATAGCACGAAGAGTAGCTGCCTCGATGACGCCATGTCTAAATTTTAACCATCGAGCGACAATTTAGCCCCGTCAAAATTATTGCGAAGAGCTTTTCCGCATCATCTGAGATCAAAAGATGATTTTAAAATAGACAAGGCGATTTCGTGCGACCCTGTTTGAATTTGATACTGGAAAGCGTAATACGAACTACTCATCTCAATCGCATCTATCATATACATAGTAAAAGAACGACGATGCTGGTGATTGCATATGACTTTGATATCGTTGCTCTCGTAGAAAAGGAGCCGAAAAGAGATTTGTCTAGCGGTGAATAAAGCCAAGACCAAGTAGCTTTAACTTGGAGATCAAATTGACAAAAAGTTTTGCCAATAGTTACTACAAAAACATTACGATGACGAATAAGTTTAGAAGGCCTTGAAAAGATTGTATGTATGTATGATTGTAGGTATGTCGTACTCATGGATGATACTCCGATGAATAGATCCTTCGCTTCGGCTCCCCTAGAAAGATAATGCTATCCAAGCAGTCACGAAGTGGTTGCCCATTATTTTTTTCCGGTTATTGTAACACAATGTTAAATTGTTGTTGCTGGAAGTGGGTACAAATTTCCCTAAGTTTTAGGGAATGTGCTTGCCGATAAACAAATCTGGGTCGTCCCGCTTGCGTTGACTCGACAGTGGTGGGAACGGCTTATATTAGGTTGGAGTGGTTGCAAAGTATTTAGACCCTCCCACACATAGACCAACATAAGCCCGGTTTTATCGCTTAAATATCAATCCGTTCGATGTTAAAAAGCTTACTGCGGCTGATGTTACGGACTTAGCCAAAGCTTTTATTTACACTTGTGGGATCTCTACAATACCTGAAAGGATGGTATATCAATTGAGCATAATCTTCTTTTACCCAAGGCCAGGCTGTCGCTTAAGAGGTTTTGCATTTTCTTAGTCTTCTAAATTCGGGCAACTACGATATGGTTCCGGTGTGTTCATCCATAATTTGATAGCTTTCAAGGCAATTGAGTAGCGGCACATAAAATTCATTCCTTCCTGTTCCTCCTTATTGTAGATCTCTGCGCAAGGCTCCGTGCTGACGGCTGAATTGCTTATAACTCTTCTTCGTATACACTGCAGTGGTGGGGGATTCGAAAAGATGCATGTCCACGATATGTAGCCGATGAATGGCCTGAGGTTGTCTCGGCCAATTAGCCGGCTGCTTTGAATCTCACTGCTGCAATAATGGCCATTTTTGGAGCAATAAAGATCATTTTAATTAAGTGCTTTGCCGAATTTCTCCTCCAATCTGCGCTGTGCTCGAAATTTCGACATAAAAAGTAAAATATATGTACATTTTTGCGCCCACTCGGAGCGGCTGATAGTTTTTTGTGGCAAGATTTTTCATGGTATAGTCGATGGAAGGCTTAAGTGAGCTTTATTTCTAAAATATTTTGAAAGAGGGTTGCCAGCTGTTTACAAATTTGAAATCAGTTGAATTAAAAGGTTCAATGAAATTATTTAATATGGGACCTCCAACTGGGAGAGGTTCAAGAAGGCTTGATTTCTATGGCGGTAGTTTTAAGAGGGATGCCATCTGTTTAGGAAACCAAAGTCAATTTAATTATCGAGTTAAAATAAATAAAATATTAAGATCGTTAACTGTTTTAAAATTCAAATTGAACATAGCTATTTAGTTATTTGTGGCACACATATTTACACCAGATTAGTTTGAAAGCATTTTATAAGAGAGTTGCCCAATTTTCAAAATTTATTAAACCAACTTTTTCCGTGTACGTTAAATAAAAACAAAGGAAACAATTTAGCATTGATAGAGAACCAAAATTACATTTTTACATATAAATACTGTCTATGAAAAATTAGTTCTTTATACTGAAATGGCTGAATTAGTTAAAATTTGGCACAAACTTTGAACATGTCCTGAGATATAATTTTTATGGAGACTGGCTTGATTACGCGAACGATCTGAGTAAGAGCAGAGAGATTGAGGAGTCGCTGTTACATTTGATAGCACAACGCTAAATCGTATATAAAGCGTGCGGGGCCGCGGACAAAAGCTACATATGCCTTTTTCTTTTTTCCTTCTCTTTATTCTCAAAAAAAAAAAAATATTTTCATGCAAATATGTACTTAACTACATATGTATGAACAAAGGTGGGCAAGAAAAGCACAAAAAAAAGAAAAAAATACTTATCACGCTAATTGAAAATGCATTTCCGAAGGTTGCTCTAATAAATACGAGT